CCTTTACCTTTTACCCTGTATATGAAGAAACCATCCAGAGAGCCGTCTTTAGGTTGCATGCTTTGTAGGTCCCATGTATGATTTCAAATCTTGCCATTATGCTTAAATAAAGGATTTTATTTTATTGCTGCAACATGCATATCCAGCTTGCACTGAAGATAGAAAATAGGGAAGTATGTTCCATTAGTTTCCCGTAAGGCAGTGCAGCATCGTGAGTTGAGTGTCTCTGTAGCTTACTTCTGATTTTCTTGAAAGTCTTGAAGATACTTCAGGTTATACAACTTTTCAGTCTCGGGTTTTCTTACGTGCCTGTTTGCGGTTCTCGTGCTTATATGGTTTTATTAAAAGTTTATTCTTTTCAGATAAAGAATATTTTCTAGCTGTGCAGAGGATGGGCTAACAAAATATTATGTGTATTTTGACAATGAAGTCGGGAAACAGTGTTGGATTGAAAGCATCCAAGTTCAGGATGTTTTTCCTAAAATGGGATACAGCAGTTGAGAGAAGTTTAGTAATTGCTTTTGGCATATTGGTGTGTTGTAAAGTGTATTAAAAATGATCTCTTTCAACTAATATTTTTCATATATAGGTTCTCAGAGATATACTTAAAGAAGTACAGAGTAACATGGTGCCGCGCAGTATGCTTAAGGAGTGGGCTTTACATACATTCCCCAATGCTACAGATTACTGGACTTTCCGAAAGATGTTCACTATTCAGTTAGCCCTAATTGGCTTTGCAGAATTCATCTTTCATTTAAATAGACTCAACCCTGAAATGCTGCAGATTGCCCAGGTATGCTTTCGTTTGTTCTAGATGCATGCTGTCGTCTTTGATCAAATGGAAATTTGGATTATACTTTTGAAACGAGTCAAAGCAGTAATTCGACATACATAATTAACAGTGCGTTTCAGTAGGCTTTCCATTTATATGTGATTGCACATCATGTAGGTAGTAATTTAAACTGCATTCCCTGTGGACATCAACTCTATCTTCTGTGGTGAGAATTTGGAACTTTGTCTGTAAATCGTTCTTGGGCATTGGAACTGTTCATGTAAATGACTGATAAATCTCTCTTTTTAGTCCTTAAAATATATTGCTTTGAATATCTCTCTAAAAAATATATATATATATATTAGAGCTTCATTTTCTTAAAGGGGAATACCCTTTTTCAAATACTGTTCTTGTCAGCGTTGCTATCATGTCAAGCTACAACTCCCATTAATAGTCATTTTTCAGTTTTAACCCAACATTTACAATGCAGCTTGCCACCTTAGTAGGGCAAAGGTGGCATATATTAAAGTCTTAATGCCATTTTTAATGCATGGAGGGCTATACTTTGTATAGCAGTTAAGATTCTTTAGTCCCTCTAGATAAGTGTTCAGATGCTTACGCAGAGTGAACAATGCACAAAGAATGCTCACCCAGAGCTGGGGTGCATAGAGAAGAGCGAGCGGTCTGTCTGCATGTCTTCTTATAGAGCATGCTACAGAAGAATCTATTCCTTGTTCGATAGTACAACAATGTGTATTTAGTAAGGGGTTTTGAACACATGCTTTGAGAAATACATACCTGACTTTGTGCATGCCTTTAATTTTAACTTTTTTTGCTCAAAAACGGTTTGACTGAAAGAGTGAAAAGCTATCGGAGTATTATTTGTACTCTGATTTTTAACAATAAACAAAAATCCAACTTCTTTTGGTTTCATTAATGAAATGAAAGTTCCTTTAATTACTTTTGTGCATCTTGCTTTTAAATCCAGGATACTGGCAAGCTAAATGTAGCTTACTTTCGCTTTGACATTAATGATGCTACTGGAGATTTGGATGCCAATCGTCCAGTTCCATTCCGGCTTACACCAAACATTTCTGAATTTCTTACCACCATTGGGGTGTCTGGTCCACTGACTGCATCTATGATTGCAGTAGCTCGCTGCTTCGCACAACCAAACTTTAAGGTTTGTATACCTTTTGAAAGGTTGTTTGCAGGCACTTTATATTTGTCAGTTTATAAACTAAATAGCACTTTCTTGGTTAAGGTAGAAACTGACAGTTTCTAAATAATTTGGGGTTTTTTTAGTAAAGTTTTTAAATATTCCTCTAAGGTCATAACAAAGACCAGCTGACATGTTTGCAGTTTGCCTTTTTGGAAAGAATAGGAGCAAGATAGGTGTAATTCTACCCTTAATTCTTTTGTCCAAACATGTTAATTCAGGCTGATTGTTTCAGTGCTCTAGCCTCATAAATCCTTACAAATTCTGGCAGTGGCAAATAGTAAAATGACAAATGCAACATCTTTTAGAATCTTCATAATAATCTGTGACAAGAAAAGTCTCTTGTCCCTTTTTTTAGCAGAATATAATGCTAAAGATATACTGTTGCCTTGATGGATTCAAGCTCTTAGCAGGGTGTAGTTTGCTAAAGAAACTATCTAACTTCCTTTTAAATTCTAATGCTTTCCAAAAATGAGGCATCTTGTACTTAGGCAGTCAGTTTGCACCAGAAGGACATTGCACAGAACGTACTGTAACTATGGTGTAAGCCAGTTACTTTTTAAAAGATGGAAAATACCCTATTTTTTTTCTTTATCTGTAATACTGAAAGCCATGTTTAGAATGTTTTTTAATAATTCACCATCTTACCTTCTAAAACCATGTCTATACGTGCAAATGAATTTGCAGATGTGGCCTGTAATTTCAACATCTGAATGATGTATGCCTGATTAGACTTACCACATCACCGAATCTTTAAGCTTGGAAAAGACCTTTAAGATCATGAAGTCCAACCATCAATGCAACACCACCAAGCCCACTAAACCATGTTCTGAAGTGCCACATCCACATGTTCTTTGAACATTTCCAGTGATGGTGAAAGTATTTATACATCAATTTGGTGTGGCCCCAACTTGAGTACTGTGTACTTTTTTGAGTTCTTTTTATGAAAAGAAACACCTGAGAGGAAGTAGCGAGGAGAGCTGGAAGCCACACTCGTCTTGAAAAGACTGAGACTGCAGTGTGGGACCAAAAGTGTCAATGTTGTTGACTAAGATATAGTTACAATTCTGTAATCCCTAATGGTTCTTTGGATTAAATATAATAGTCTGATATTTTCCTTCATATAGGTTGATGGCATCTTAAAAACTGTGCTACGGGATGAAATAATTGCATGGCACAAAAAAACACAAGAGGATACTTCCTCTCCGCTCTCAGCAGCTGGGCAACCTGAAAATATGGACAGCCAGCAGCTGGTTTCACTAGTTCAAAAAGCTGTTACTGCTATCATGACTCGACTTCATAATCTTGCTCAGTTTGAAGGAGGAGAAAGCAAAGTCAACACTCTGGTAGCAGCTGCAAATAGCTTGGATAATCTCTGTCGTATGGATCCTGCCTGGCACCCCTGGCTGTAACTTGAAATTTTCAATAGGATTTTTTGCTGCTGTTTGTGGTGTGAGCCATATATTGTGTTAAGAAAATGTGAAAAAAGCTTTCCAGACCATGGCTTACCTGTCACACTGCATTTTGTCAGTTTTCATTTTAACTGTGTTTACAGTAATATCACAATTTTACTGTTTCATTTTTCATGAGGGGACATTTCCTCCTGTTTCACAAAGGTTGTTTAATATGCAACAACTGTTTTCCTTAGTAGCTTAAAATGAAGAGAGGAAACTTAACGTATAGAAAAATCTTATTTTATGATCAGGACTATAAAACTAGCACTGTTAGATATAGGGTCTGCCATTCCTAATAACCTGCAGTGTATAAAATTTTTATATAATAGTAATTATTGAAAAAAAAAAACAAACCAGTATTCCCAGTTATTGAATTTTACTTTGTGAAATTTTACTTAGTCACTGTCCCTTCATTATATCAAACTGAAGGCACAAAGAAATACTCTTCCTTTAAGTTTGCTCCAAATTTACATGAGCAAAGTTGGTTTGTACAGAGAATTTTGTACCAAATGTATAGAGGTGACTTTTTGTTAGGCACTGAGAAAATGATGATCAAATTGTGCTAGCTTTTCTTGGAGCACAAGCTATGTACACTAAAAGCGTAAACCATTTAGAGTATTCGGTTTAGTTGTGGACAGTGTTTGGGGGGGAAGTTTATAAAAAGGATGGAAAAAGTCATCCTTTGATACATACATTTGGCTGTAATAGATTAAAAAAAGGAAAAATCTTATAAAGTTCTCTCATTTAGAGATGTTTAGAGTTACAATAGCTTCTTTAGAATGAATCTGTTTGTAATTTAAGGAGAGATCAGTTTAATGTTTCACTCGTCTTTCTGTTGTGTTAGCATTTTTATAAGACTTTGGTGTTGAGAATGTTAAATTTGTACAGAGTGATTTTTCCAAAATAAATATTTTGTAAAACTCTCTATGGTATTCATTTTATTGAGACTATTTTTCATATTATAGTATGGGCTAAATAGAAAAGACCCCAAAGCAGGTGTAATCTTTAATAAATTAAAACCGCCTGTATGTTAAAGGGTGATGACTGTATTAATGAGATGTGAATGTGATATTCTCATGTATGCTGTTGAATTTGTTTACAGAAGAGCTGCAAATAGGAAGTATGAATATGACAAGAATTTCTTGTCTTTCAGTCAATTAATGTGTTAACCATCAGTTTTTAAAAATTCTTCAAACAATATTCTTACTTCATGTCAACAAGAAACTGTTCAGAGGTCAGGATTATATCTGCAGATGAATTCTATTAGGGGATTTCTGCTATTCCCTCAGAAACAAAGATGATCTTGATTCCTATAGCAAAGGATGGGTCTGTCTGGCTTTTTAATAAGCAGTCAACAGGTTCTTTAGAGATTTCAGAACGCAAGAGGCATAGTTGAAGTTAATCGCCACCATGCAGTAGTGTACTGTCTGTGAGACAAGGGGCGTTCTGAAAGCCAATCTGATGACTTTTCCTGGGTGAGTGAGCTCACCTGCAGGTTGAGACGAACAACATCTAACTCGCTGGTTACCTGCAGATCAAGGCTTGTGGTAGGCATGGCTGTAGTCATCATTTAAAAACAAAGCAACATGTGCTCTACCTAGGTCTCTATTACAGAGTTGCAAAGAGACCTCTTCCTTTTTGTGTTTGCAGCCATTGGCAGAACCAGTCAATTGATACAGGCTTGAGTGTCAGCATTTTGCAGGGCTACATGTCGCTCTCTGCTCTTCATCTGACAGGACTGGTCTGCTAACGCCGTAAGCAGCACTGAACCTGGTGCAGAGGGCAGTGAGACTGATGGACAGAAAGTGCTATGTATGTATGTATATACAAGTGTATATATAAATACAGACTGAGTTTGCATCCATGACTGCAGTATGAACTCAGAATTGCTTAGTTAAGTTGATGAATTTAAACCCATTTGAAGGCTAACTGTTAAGTAGGTTTTTACTGAATGTTGGCTGGGAGGCATCACTTTGTCATGTCCAACAGACCTCAGGTATGTTATTTGCTCGGTCTTCCATTACCTTTCAGGTGAGATATTCAAGTGCTGTATGCTGGGCATGAAGCCTTTGGTAGTTAGTACGGACTTATTTTGCTCTGTTAGTTCTGCATAAATGTTACAGTATGTGCCAATTAAACATAGTTTATAGGATAGTGTATGGTTTTCCTAGGTTAATTTATGAATTTGCATCTGTTTACCTTTTGACTAGTAACAAGATCATATAGTATTAGAAATGAAGATACCTTGCACTCCCAACTTAAATGTGGTTTTTCCCCCTTGGAATATAACCTATAATGTAGCGGGGAAAATAAAATGCAATTTTGGAAATGGAAATTAAGATATTATTGATTTGTAAATGAAAAGGAAAGCTTTACCTTTAGCTCTTGTAAATGAAAAGTAAATATACAATAATGAATTTAAGGAAAAATGTCATATTTTTAGAGAAAAAAGCCTGGAAAATAAATGAACGTTCCATTTTCGCTGTAAAATACAACATAATATTACAGAACAGTGATAAATGTAGCTTATTCTGTGAAGGAGTTGTAATAATCCGGTCCTAGAAGTTTTGGAATAAAAAGCGAATTGGAAATGTGCACTTGCTTAAACTACAAGTGCAGTAATGCATTGTATTTCTCTGAAATTCTCTCGCTTGGAGGATTTCCCATGCAAGTTTCTTTTCAATTCTTTCCTAGGCGAGATGGACCAGAGCTTTTCCCAGCTGAATCACTACTGCCTTTCCCATTAGTTGGTTTGAGGATGCTAGCAAGAGCAAAGGGACTCTGGTCAAGCAAGTCGTGACTTTCCTAGGCATGTACTTACTGGGTCCGGAAGGCTTAGTTGCAGATAAGGTCCAGCAGAAACAGATGGTAAGCGTTCAGCCCTCAAAAATTTAAAGAAAGAATGGTAGCCAACTGGATGACCCTGAACCATAGCCATGTGATGACAGGTAAGGGAGGTCAGTTTGTGGACTTGAGATGGAGGCATTTAGATCAAGGGGATCAAGCCTTTCTGCTTGGCATAGTTCTTGCGTGGATCAAAGTATTTGCTGTGGGCTTTGTCTGGGAGGAAGAGTTTATTACTTCTCACCAGATACTTCTAGATTATGGTTCTGTTTCCTTGCATGATGAATGAAGTGTGGCCCCTTTATTCCCATACTTGGATTGTGTGCTCCTTGTATATCGAAGAGAGGATGATAGATGTATGCTGTATTGCCAGTGTATACAAGTGGAAGCTCAAATACATGGTAATCACAGAATCATTAAGGTTGGAAAGGACCTTCAAGATCATCAAGTCCAACCGTTATCCCAACGACTTAACATAAGGACTATATAAGGCTTTGGAAAACAAACTTAACTCTTTTTTTTGGCAAAGACTTGCTTCCTTATCAAAATCATGTTGGCAAGAAGAATCTGAACTTTCTTCTTAAAAAACGTAACACTTCCTGCATGTGTCACAACATACTCTTATATGCAGTTACTCAGGACTAAGCTTAGTGCTTTCATGAGTTGAAGGAAATTGTTGGCTTCCTTTTACTGAGGATTGTAACATTTGTAGACGTGAAATACGGCACATGCTGCATCAGAGGAGTTGCTGCTATTTTAATCGTTCGCGTGTCTTAGATATGTCTGACTCTATGAGAGATGACAGCATCTCCTGAAAGGAAATCATCAGATAATTCAGCTACTTTTCTGTTCATGATAGAATTCATAATGGAAAAATGAGAATATTGTTGTTTCTACGTTTGTGACATCTCCCTTTGTTTATTCAAATATACTCCTAAAACAAAACGTGGCGTGTGAGGGAACAGTGCTAATAGGGAAAAGACAGGTTTTTTAATGAGGTCCCTGACAGTGTTAATGTGCAAATGTTCACTCTTCTTTCATGAATATAAGCTATGGATTTATTTTATTTTGTGAGAAGGCTTACACAGTTATAACCCAGACTTTTTACCACTGGCTCCAAGGAGGTAAATCCTGAAAGCTTTTAGTTGTAGATGAGCATTCTTCAGAGACTGGAGGAAATCTTCTGACATATCTTGTATGATCAGCAGCTGTCCATTAACAGGTAAGAGGTTTGACATAGTACAGTATATGACGTTCCTGATTACCTTCAAGAATACGTGGCATGTATCTTAGATGCATTTAATTTTTTATGATTGTAGTTAAGGGTTCCCTCTGTCTCATTAGTTCAGATATATGCTCGATGTGCATCTTGCTCAGCAGGGACTTGAAAGTGAAATACATTAATTCACTCTAAGTATTCCCTTTAAGGTTTCTTCCCTCAGATACTACACAAAAAAAGCCCATGTTACTACTCTGTAAAATCAAACATTTCAGAATTAAGAGAGAGCAAGTTTAAAATTGTGTCTGAAATTGCATGCATGGGCATTATGCCATTCTTAAAATTCCTCCTGTTGTATTTTTGGTTCTCTCACCCCTGTAGAGGCCTGGATGGATGTGGCTGGATGTTCATGAGGGTAACTAGTGACAAGTCTTTGACACCAAAGTTAGGCCAGCTATATTTTAAGTCTGTATGAAATGCAGAGAGATATGTATGTCTGTAGACTTGCGCACACATACCTGTGTTGAAGTGGGCTTTATGGTAGGTCGCTCGAGTGACAGAAATACTAGTAACTAGGAAGCAGATTTGGCATGAAAAACTAGACAAAAATGTGAGCTGTGGATTTTACATGGAGAAAAAATGGTTGTCAGGTTTCTCATTATACTGTATTATTTCAGTCTCTTGATTTTTATAATCGTGTTTGGCTTCATCTTTATTAGATGCTGCTGCTGCAATTTAACCATTTATTATTACAGTCTGCTCTCAAAGTAGATTATCAGAATTCATTTACTTAAGTGAATTATGCTCTAAACCAAAATCATTTAACATTAGTTGGGTGTTTGAGTCCACCATCTGAAACTGGTGTGCCGCTTTCCTCTCCTGTAATTGGGCTGTCCATGAATTGTCAGATACAAAGAGAGAGCGAGAGATTAGTTATTACTGGAAGAAGATGACTCAAAGCATTTCAGCAGCAGACAATGAAAGCTCTGTTTCGTAATGGCAGTAGAATAAAGTTGCTTTTAAGGCTCCGATCTGTTTCAAATATGATGTATGAAATGTTCTTTTGTGGTGTAGAAACCTATTCAGGGAGAAGAATTCAAACTCACAGGAGCTTTTAATCAGCTCAGTGTGGGTGCATTTCACATTGAAGAGGTTCAAG